ACACGTGCTTGGTGGTGGAGGTTGGGCTGAGGGGCATTTTATTTAGAGCAGCTCCTGGAGAGCTGCTCTAATTAAAATGCTACAGTGCTGCAGCACTGCAATATATTAAGCCCCTGAACATTTAAAAATGGCCATGGGGGCTTAAATATGTTGCTGTGGTGATGCTAGAGCATTCTAATAAGAACATGGAGCAGACGTTTAATTAATCAAGTCTGCTTGGACTCAATTAGAATGCATCACAGCACATGTATAGGCACCTCTAATTTACAAAATAACTCACTCAAAGGAAGCCAAGGGCAGCTAGAATCCTATAGCACATAAACAAGTATGTTTTCTCCACTTGTAGAGAAATGCATATTTAATCACATTCACATCTTAACTCTGGCCCAGCATGGATGTTATTCATTTAATCAGCCACCTCAAAATACAAAGCTGACAACATTAAAGACAACAAACTTCTGGAAAAAGAAACATATAAGCACACATTAATAGCACATAATGAGCAGCTGTAAATATAAGCCCATAGGCAGTCAAAACTTCCATAAATGAATAAACCTATACACCTTCCCATTATGTAAAATTTCAGACTCAAGAAATAACAATTTTAAGCATTTATACAACAACAAAGAGTTCAGTTGATGATAAATACTTTATGTGACACACTCCACTTAATGGTATCACTTAAAAGCCATAGGGTGCTTATAGATGTTGTCAGGGATGGGGGAGAGAGGAGGGGCATTTTAATTAGCATGGTTCCTTGAGAGCTGCTCTAATTAAAACACATCACTGTCATGTGTAGTAAGTGTCCCACATTTCAAAATGGCCGTGGGGGTACTTTAACTAAAGCTTGCTGAATGAGCTTTAATTAAAGCACCCCTGCTGCCATTTTGAAATGTGGAACACCTAATACACATGACAGTGAGGCACACTGGAGCATTCTAAATGGAATGCTCCAGCAAACTTGATTAATTGAGTCTGTTCTGATACATTCTAATTAGAATGCATCGGAGCATTTCGATAGGCATCCTTAGACTCTGAATCAAGGTAATAAAGCAATAGATGATCCCTTGCACTACAAACATGGAGACAATTCTTGGGTCAGATTTAAAGTCTTTGTTTTTTTTTTTAAAAAGGGACACATTTGTTTAGATTTGGTAAGCATAATGATTAGCCTTGTTCTTCCTTTCCCAGGTTAAAATCTGTGCTGTCCTTGTGGATACTCAATGCCTATTAGTGTTCCATTAGAGTGTGAGTGGACTCATGTGATTTGCCTCCCACAGAATAGTTGGAAGGCTCCTTTTCAAGCCTAGCAAGTCCTCATGGCATCCATGTGAGACCAGGTCCATCTGCACGGAATTCTGTGCTTCTGTGCTGGTACTCATTCTTAATGGGTTTTTCCAAGCTCCCTGACGTCATAGCCTCTCCCTATTAAGGTACTTTGTCAAAGGTTCTGTGTGGTAAAACTTACCAAGCCTGTGTCTTAAGTGATGCAAGTTATTTTGCAGGGGAGAACTTCACTAAAGAAAACTATCAAGAGAACTTAAATAGCTTGATTTAGAATATACCCAGGAGATCTAGACACTAGTAGAAAGTACTAGGGGATTTGATTTCTTCCCAAACAGTGGCAATAAAATTGTATCCTGTCTCTGGCATGTCCTGGGAAAGATGCTCCCAAGTATATCCTGGCTGCTTGCATGCTACAAACACAGAAATTGGCCGGTGATGCCACTTTCAGACATCCCTCTATGGTTGCTATTGAGATCTCAGTCTGTAGGTATGCTTGAGAAGCAGCCTCTGACACATTTCTGGGTTTTGACTGTGTGAGTACTGGAACATGTTGTAGAACCAGGACATAGAGATACCTGGGTTTCCTTTGGAGGTTTCCTTTCCAAGTCTTAATACTGAAAAATTTAGTTTATGAACTATGACAAGATCACAGACCAGGATAATTAGTTAGGTCTAAATCAATTTTGATGTGAAGACTGAGTACACATGTTCACCTGATGCTCAATTTCCATTTCTGTGACCATTTCTTATGAAGGACTATTTTACTGAAATGTCTAAAAAACCTGCTTAGAAGATTATAAAACACAAAGATCTGTTGTCCACTATGTGCATAACTAGGTGGATGTTCTGAATTTGGGGTTTGATTCCCATATTTGGGGACTAGGGAGATTTATCTGGGATCAAGAGAGAGAATGGCTCTGTGAAAGAAAAGCATGTTTTATTTTTAGAGTAGTCAACTTTGTGCATTTTTAAGTAATTTAAGCAACCCACCTTAATATAACATAGGACAATGTTTTGCCCCGTACATAGTAGGAGTTCTGGTACAGGAATGTGAATTTATAATACTGATTGCTTTAGAAAGAAGAATGAGAAACTATGTCATATATGTTCTAATGTATTCCAAAAAAAGTAAAATTAACATTTTCTTTAGTCAAGACTGAAGGGAAAATGACAGAGACGTTAGATTTGAACACTTTATGATTAAGACCATGATATCAGTAACTCTTTCCTTTATTTATATGCAGAGGGATATCCATTTTCTCCAGGACATACTATTAATATTCCCCCAACTGTTTGACAGGATCTTACTATAACATGGTACTGTGAAAAAAGGAACCAGTGCTTTCCTATATTGGACATGGAAATGGCATATTGACTATATTGTGTCGCTGTATGTAATGTGTCACAAAGGTTGGCTGAATGGACATATGCTATAAACAACTCATATTTGCATAAGACTCATTTGAATTTTCAGTGGAGTTGCCACAACTTAAACACTTGCTGATTCAGGGTGGGCTTCCTACCACTTACTTTAGAAAAAAAGGAAGGAAGAAGTTATAAAAATCCAGAGTAAGGCTTTTTTCTTAACGAGCGGATCTACACAAGATGTTTACTTCACAGTAGACTAACTAGCTGTGCAGAAATGTCTTGCCTCTATATGTGTGACCCTATTAACTGAAGCAAGCTAATTTACTCTGCAACAGGACAGTACTTGTAAATAGTACTATCCTGCTGTGGAGTAAAAAACTTTGCAGCAGTTCACATGTAGATGCTACCTGTTGGCTAGCCCTCACACTGCAGCACCCTCCTGCCCTGGCCAGCCCCTCTGCAGCACGTTGAGGCATGCGGAGTGGTCCCAGGCTGCCAGGCTAACCCCGCAGACCCACTGCCAGCTGGGGCTGCTCGAACCCCGACTCAACATGCTGTGTTCCCAGATGCATGTGAAGATGTATGCCTGGGAGCAATGATCTCCGGAGTAATAAGCTCCAAAGTTTATTGCAGCACATTAATATGCATGTGTAGACACCCCCAGCATGTCCTATTATTCATACTCAACAGAGCAGTCCTAGAATTACTTAGCATTTATGGAGGTTTTTTGGCCTTAATAGATGCCTTTTTGTGCGTGTAAAAGATTGTAACAGGATACATGTGCACAACAAGGGGAAGGGCATAGTCATGACTAAATATTAGTAGATGTCATACATTCAGCTTTATCTTATAGATAAATAAGTACTTAAATCTCTGATTCTAGAAAGCATTTATATGAATAAATTAACATGCGATGATCCCACTGAGGATAATGCAATTGTATCACTCACATGCTGAAATGTTCGCAGGACCCGGGTCTCAGTTTGCCCACTGCTTTTTTTTATCATTTGTCTCTTGGCTGTATTTAATAGCAAAATAATAAGGGCCAGGTTTTAAAAGTTTTTTAGGAACATAACCCCTGCTGAAATGAACAAGTGAAGTCCCTAATATTTTGAAAATTTGACTCCTTATTCATTTTCACTAAATCTGTTTCTCCCCTTTAAAGGCCTTTATCAAACTTAACATTTTAAAATTGTCAGGAATTGGATTTTTAAAATTATAGTGTAGCAACAAACTGATTTTATGCAACATGTTTAAAAACTGAATAATGCAACACAGATATATTAAATCAATGCTAGCTGAGTGAGTGACTGGTATAGTTAATAAAAGTAGATTGTACTGAAAATCCAATAGACACACTTAGGACACCCAAATTAATTCTAAATGATAATATAATTTATGAAACTACAGTAAATATTAAGGGGATTAATAACTATTAAGGCATTAGCTTATTACATTAATGAAAATATAAAGCCCAAGGGCAAAAATAAAAGATAGAAAACGCAATTGTACTATAATAAAGAGTTGAAGATTTTGGTCCTAAAAATATATATGTAACAACAAGGTATGTCATAGACGTAGACCAAGAAATTTTCTTGAGCCTAAGACTGAATCATACTAACACAGAACGATTGTGAACATTTTCTGCCAGCCACTTTATTAATGTACTGGATAAAGACCTAAAGCTGGGATTAATGCACAAACAAAACTCCCATCGACTCCCAGGGCATTGTTCATGAGAAATGATGTGAAGAATAGGTAGTAGTACTTATCATTTTACTTAATTCTTTCTTTAAAGGATGTTTGCTTTTTTTCTTTCTTTTCTTTTTTCCCGTAATGCATTTTACGTATTGAATTAAAACATCATATGTGAGCTGTTTCAGAACCTTTATTCTAGGTAAAAAGTCTCTAAGAGATCTAGGTTTGGCCAGTAGAGAGTTTCTCCAGTGGAGGAACTATGAAAAATAGCACAGGCTACCTTCTGAGGAGCCCCTCATTAGTCCAGATATATGGAAGAAGGCTGGAGTGCAGTAGGTGGTATTCTGGGAGTAGAACTTCAGAATGAAGAGCTGAGGAGATTCTGGGTAACCTGAGGAGGCTATCATAACTCAGATGGTTACCCAGGGCTGTCTAAGTTATGGTGAGCACCAATGTCAATCTTGCTGCAGCCCAGAATCAGGCAGGCTAAGATTGCTTACATTGTGCTGGATTCTGTACATTCTCAGGATGAGATTCTATGCTATGCACCAGGGTTAAGATGTTCACAAATACATGCCTAGAATGGGAAATTGCACATAGTTTGAAATGTTCATGTTAGTTAGGACTTACGTAGGAGGGAAAACGAGTTTAGAAAACAATTTTATTAGACAAATTATTTAGACAAATTATACACAGAAAGCTCTGCCACTTGTAACTGAGGCCTCCAAAAAGTGTTTTGTGTATCTGTATAATAGGCAACACATCAAAATAGGCCTATTTTAAATATTGTACATGTTTAACAGTTTGTTTATAGCTAAAATCACTGCAACATCTGGTTTGTCCCTACATAGCTTGTTGTAAATAAATTTATTTTTTTTTAATCAGAGTTGTGTATGAGTTCATGGATAGTACAAGGGGAAACAAGTTGTGCATGCTTTTAGACACTTGCTACCCTGGAAACAAAATGGCCTTTTGCATGATAAGAAATTGTTCTGCCTTACACAGTAGACAATATTTGAAGATTTAGTACAAAAACAGTGACAGTACAAGATGCTCCCCCAGAACAGAATTAGCATCAAAATAGAATAGATCTGAAGAATATACCTTTTAATTTATCCTAAAGCAAATCACATAGGCTGATTTTATATATCAATTCTAGCCACAGAATGAGTTAGGTTAAAATAAGTGTATGGTGCATTTAAAAACAACAACAACAAAAAAACCAAATAAACAAAACAAAACAAAAAACCCACACAGGATAAATTGCTTGCTTTCTACTTAACCACATTTTTAGTTTTAAGGATTACAAACTGAAAGCTCATTCTACATTTCTAACAAGTAAGAGTGTTACTTTTAAAAACCTGTGCTAAAGCAGGCACTGTTTTTTCTCTCACTGCTGTTCTTCTCATTGCTCTATACAGTTGGCACTAATGTAAAAATACATAGCTCTTCTAATATAACTGAATATAATAAGGGTTAAAACAAGTGCTTCTTTATTTGTTTTTTTCTTAGAATAATATATGACTGTAATTAAGGCCACATCAATATTTCTCAAGGGCTTTTTTCCCCACTAACGCCATTACTATATTGATTAACTGTACGGATCTGGAAGATAATTTATTAGCCTTCAATGATCTATATTTAAACAGCTCTAGAGCTATATTATAGTTGTTCATGGATGTGTTTTACCTAAAAGAGATTTCCATTTGTCTAATTAATTAAAAGTAAAATTATTAAGGCTAACCTTATACACTACGAGTAGCCAATGCAAAACCTAATCAAATGAGTTACATCTAGGTACAAACATTAAATTGCCCTGGATGTTCTAATAAAAAAGTATAAAATATGCTCTGTTGGCAAACAACGCAAGTCAGAATAACATTAAAGCAACCTGTCTTTTCTAAATGAAAAGACCCCCTGCACTGTACATCTTTCCTGTATACAACACGTTTTTACTAAAGCTTTATTAAATGAATTGCAATAGCAACGGCTGCCATTTTATAGATATATATACATGTATATATATATATACATACCTATGTATATATGTATATATATATATGTATGAGATACTAATTTATTTAACACAACATAGGCTTCTGCCATATGATACAGTTTACTGTACATAAGAAAAACTTTTAACACTGTACAATCACATAAAGATCATATGCACTGTTGCAGTGCAAAAGTAGATTTAACTGTAGTCTTTTACTGGCATAGTAATGGCTTTTTGTAGTCCTACAAAATTGCATTCTCATATTATGTGGCCTGAATGGTATTTTTATTCTTTTTCTCTTTTTTCCCCCCTTTTTATCTTTTTCTTTTTTTCTTTTTTTGTTTTTGTTTTTTACATTGCAGGGTTTGCCTTTGGTCCACAGTTAAAAGGACACACACAGCAGCGGAGCACTGAATGAATGCAGCAGAACAAATGTAAAGGTTGAAATTATTGCAATTATATAAAAAAATAAAACAGTGTGGTGGGGGAGAACATAAAGGCTGTTCCGTGCAGTAACCCTTTGTCTTTTATGCATTATTCACTGCACATTTCCTATACTTAAAGTATATGGAAAATATGCTACTAGAAAACTTGTGTGATGATTTTCTTTAAAAGGAACTGGTGACTAAAGACTTAAAGATAGGAGGGACAGAGAGAGAGGAGGAGACAGAGACAGATAAAGCAGGAAGGGAAGGAAAAATAGTAAGTTGTTACTAATAATCTTGATTTTTTTAAAAAAGTTACATCCATGTTAGTCCCACAATATTACAGCTGCTCCTTGCAAAGGGAGTCCTAGAAAGAAAGAGTGACAAAACTTGGTTTGATGCTCAGATGGAGGTGCCTCGATCTGGATCACTGCCAATATTGAGCCCCAGAGTAGGAGTTGGTTGGTATGGGATAGATGACATTGTTTTGATGGGACTTCTGAAAAACCCCCCATTAGGTGCCCTATGCCTAAAAGGGCCAGTTCGGTGCTCAGGTACGTTGCCAAATGAGAAACCAGAAGCGGCTTTAGCAGACAGAGTACGGCTAAGAGTCTGGATCTGTTCTGGTATGAAGGTTGTCGTGGTGATGTGAGTGTTTCTGAAGTCACTGATTTGCTCCAGTGCTTGGCGTGTGGGCAAAGTGTCAATGTCCAGTGGGGTCAAATCAATTGATGAGGTGGAAAACTGTTTATGGGGGCTGTCATCATCTGTGCAGAGGCTGTTCACACGTCTGTGAAGGTGTTCCAGGTCAATTTCCTTGTCATCCTGGAGAAGAAGAAAAAATATGTACCACTCATCGTTGCCACTTTTTGTTGGATTGATGCTTCATTGTGGAATCAGATCTCTTCAGAAAACATGACATATTATTAACTAAAGCTTCATGTTAGTTAGATAACAGCTGAGTTCAGGTATAAATATCAATGGTAAATAATTCTCACTGATGGAAGCTGCATGGATTGGAAGGAACACAGGTGCACTTTACCATTATAATACATCTATCTTCAAACCCAGCATCTGAAGTGCAAACCTGTACGTGATACAAATACGTACTTATCATGAAACTGCAGGTTTGGAGGCAGATTGTGTGTCATTTAGACTAATGACAGCTTGGTGAAAATGATCTTTATATAATGAAGATGAAGTGTCACCTTAGATGGCTGGGGTGATGCCAGCTGTCCTTAAATTTCATAACGATCACTAAATTTGAGCTTCAAAATGGGAGCCTTTGAAGAACAAGATTATCCCCTTCATCAACAGGGGATAACTGGCAGGGCTAATGGACTAACATCTTACAGGACTGATTTTTCTCTGTATTAGTCAAAATAGAACAAAAGCTGAACTTCCACCCAGAATACTTGTGGTTCATGTACATTATATTAGAATGGAGTACATAAAGTGAGATTGAGTTGTAATGCCTACAGTGGGTTTGATTCTCTTTTTGCTTATAGTGGATCAACTCCACTGGCTTTGGTAGAAATATACTGGTGTGGGTGAAGGGAGAATGAGGCCCATAGTATTTATGCTGATGTGTGATCACTCCATTCTACCCTTGTTCTTCCTTAAATGTCTCCCCTTACAGAATTTGAAAGATTTGTGTCATAGTTGAGAATTTAAAAGCACAGAGGTCAAAAAATACATAGCCATGGGTCCCATTGTAATTGTAAATCATCTATGTTGTGCACACATATTAACACTGAACTAAAAACCTTAACTCAAAGCTGTGTTAAGCATAAAATATGTGAGGGATGTCTCTTTTAAACAGGGGACACAGTTCATTTGTTGGACTACAAAAATAAAATTTCAACCAAACTTTGTTAAAATTTATTTAAGGCTCTGTAAAATCTATTGACTCTTCCAGGCCCCCAGAGATATCTCCCAATGCAGCATTCTACAGCCTCACAGACAGTAATTGTATGGTCCCATAGTAGTGCATTTATGACCTCCAAGCTTGATTACTATAACTCATTCTAGGTCTGATTCAAAGCTCACTGAATCAATGAGAAGACTCCTTTTGTCCTCAGTCTTTAAAGCCATTCTATTAACTAGGAGTAAAATCAAAATCATGAATCTTGAAAAACTCCATCTAAAACAAAATTTAGTAATTAATCTGGCTAGCAACACTGATTTACAAATCTGTGCCCTGGCACCCCATGGAACAGAGTCCAGTTCAGAATCTGTCATTTGAAGCCCTCCACTATTTTAGCAATCTGAGAGATGCCCTTTGGTTCTGTGACCTCCCAAAGCAACTGTGTTCCACCTGAACAGTGAGACTCTTAGCCAGCAGGGGGAGTCTTGGGAGTGGAAGAGGAATTAGATTTCAACTATCCTGCATGAAATAAAACTGGCTATAGACCTTATCACTCTGAGCACAAAACATGAGTTCATCTCGACCTAGCTTTCCATCTATAATTTGCACGCACAGAAACTTACATAGACATACAGCTATGCCACTCACGTATGCACAAACATAAACAAGCAAACAAAACTAAAATCAAATTAATTAGTCAAGGTATTTCTCCTATAGGCTTGGGAGATTATCAGAGACTATGATATTAAGGACCAGGTAAGAATATAGATGGAGACATAGAGGCTCAGTCTTGCTGTTTAAGTCTTGATTTTGCCTCCGTGGCACAGTGTTCAATGTTTCTTTATTTTTCTTTTGAAATTTAAGCAGTATAAAAATACCTTATAATTTAAAATACCAATGAAGGAAATATTTTACATTTATTACTGTAGATATACTGTAATATATTTTACATTTATTACTGTAGATATACTGTAGATATATTGCAATTTATCTGAGCCTCTGGGAGTCACTTTAGCAATACAGCTGACTCTTCTGTTATTAATCACATCCCAGAATGAAATGTTTAAGGGTAGGGTCAGATTTAAAAAAAAAAAAAAATATTGGTATTCTCCCATGGTCCACCCATGACCCAGACTCCACCCATTCAATACACCAAAATAAGACCCACTCACAGTAAGATTGTGCATATCTCCATAATATGATCATTCCTCTTCTCTCTTGTGTGTTTTGATCAGGAGTGAAATATTCATCAGTGTTCACATTTAAATTATCATCAGGCTTCAGAGTCAACATCCCATTGAGATTACTGGGGCAGTTCATACTTCTCCCAGAGCTATTGTTTAAGGTTGTCTGCAGACTCAGGCAGACATCACTGAATGGGTTACTTCTGGTACATGACTGAAAGGTTATCTTTGCAACCATAAGTGCTTGGATTCTGGAGCACAAGATGGCAGCCACCAGGAAAAAGGGCTGGCTTGCTGACCACAAACTGGCCCAATCTGACCCCCCGATTCTGGACTAGTACCCTGGAAGAGCCAGTGGATTTCAGGGAAGCTAAAATGAATTTTAAGAAAGTTAGTTAAGATGTATTTCCAAATGAGCCCACAGCATGGATAGTGCAGACACTCAGCACGTATGTCCATGCTTAAGTCAGTTTTGAGTCAAGCTTTTCAATTCAGCTTTAAGATCATTAGATGCAGGGGTAGCAGTGGACATAGTCTTCCTGAACTTCCGGAAGGCTTTTGACACTGTCTCTCACCCCGTTCTCATTAAGAAACTGGGGGGTTGTGGCGTAGACACCCACACAGTCAAATGGGTTGCCAACTGGCTGGAGGGCTGCACCCAGAGGGTGGTAGTGGACAGGTCCTTCTCAACCTGGAAGGACGTGTGCAGTGGGGTTCGGCAGGGCTCGGTCCTCGGGCCCGCGCTGTTCAACATCTTCATCAGTGATTTGGATGAGGGGGTAAAAAGCACCCTGTTCAAATTTGCTGATGACATTAAGATGTGGGGGGACGTGGGCACGCTAGAAGGAAGCAACAGGCTACAATCTGACCTAGACAGGTTACAAGGGTGGGCGGATGAGAATAGGATGGGTTTCAACACAGACAAGTGCAAGGTGATGCACCTGGGGAGGAACAACCGGCACCATACCTACAGGTTGGGGAACTCCCCTCTTGTCAGCACGGAGGCGGAAAAGGATCTTGGAGTCATCATTGACTCCAAGATGAACATGGGTCGGCAGTGTGGGGAGGCAGTTAGGAAGGCCAACCGTACCTTGTCATGCATCCACAGATGCATCTCAAGCAGGTCCAGAGAGGTGATCCTCCCCCTTTATGCGGCACTGGTCAGGCCGCAGTTGGAGTACTGCGTCCAGTTCTGGGCGCCGCACTTCAAGAGGGATGTGGACAGCATGGAGAGGGTCCAGAGGAGGGCCACTCGCATGATCAGGGGACAGCAGGGCAGGCCCTATGAGGAGAGGCTACGGGACCTGAACCTGTTCAGCCTCCAAAAGAGAAGGCTGAGGGGGGATCTTGTGGCCTGTTATAAACTAGTCAGGGGGGATCAGCAGGCACTGGGGGAGTCACTGTTCCCCCGAGCACAGCCAGGAGTGACCAGGAATAACGGTCACAAGCTGGCAGAGGGTAGGTTTAGGTTAGACATCAAAAGGCGCTATTTCACGGTCAGGGCGGCTAGGGTTGGGAACCAACTTCCAAGAGAAGTGGTGCAGGCTCCTACCCTGGGGGTTTTTAAGAAGAGGTTAGATGAACACCTTGCTGGGGTCGTTTGACCCCAGTACTCTTTCCTGCCATTGCAGGGGGTCGGACTAGATGATCTGCTCAGGTCCCTTCCGACCCTAGAAACTATGAAACTATAAATTTAAAGCCACGCCAGTATATGGCAGTATAAAGAGGCCAAGTTATAATGTCTGAGGAAATCACAATTTAAGTTTCCTGCAGAACATCTGAAATATACAGCATGATCATCTATCTATCTATCTACAGGTTTCCTTTGCTTTATGCGGGTTCTGTATGTGTGAATTCACTCTTATGTGATGACCCTTTTTATACGAAAAATTCAGTATATGTGAGGTAAATTCACTCTTATGTGATCGCTGTGGTGGAAACCCACAGTCAGCTGCTTTGTGCAGTGCATTGTGGGAGTGACATGCACAAAAATATAGTCTCCTGCATGGATCTGTGCTCCTCGCTCGTTGTTTGCAACATGTGTTTCTGCAGTTGCCACCCCCATTATGACAGTGCCCTGTGCTTGTGTGTACTGTTTGCTGTTGGTGAGTACCAACATTGTTTTGTAAAAGTGGTAGAAATGGGTCTGGAGGTCAGTACAGTTGAAGTCTTGGAACATATGCCTGTTTGTCACATTGTAAAGTGGGTTCTTTATGCATATTCGAGTTTTGTGCCATTTTCCAGGATTGCATGTACAGCATAAAGCAAGAGAAACATCTATCTATCTATCTATCTATCTATCTATCTATCTATCTATCTATCTATCTATCTATCTATCTATCTATCTATCGGCTTCTTTCTTTTCTTTTATGTATTTTTTGGACCCAATAAATATAAAATCTGAAATTTCTTAAAGTTTGGGTTAAATGATAATCTGATATGTAGTAGCATTTAACCATTTGTTGGTGGCTGATTCTCATTCCAGAAAAATACAATTTAAAAGCAGAGAGTTTTTAAAAATGACTTTCTAAATATTTAAATATCAATACCAGGGCTGTCTAATTTGGGAGAGTAATTAATCCTTCTGGATTATACAACAGTATATTGGCAGGGCACTTGAATATCAAAGAAACTGCAGGCAAGGTCAAAACTATCACACAGAAACTCACAGCAATAGCCTTCAACAGGTCTCCCAGCTATGTAGACAGAAAAGATAAAACTGAGAATGATACCTTGCATATCATCATGGGGCACGTCTACATGAGATGATGACTCTGCAGTAGCCAAAAAACACTGTACAGTAGTGTGTCACAGCATGGACAGTACTAATATGCTATTGCATAGTATTATTAGGCTACTTCGCAGTAGCATTACCTAAAAGACACTTGCTGGTGCTACTGTGCAGTAACTCTACTGCACATTTATTTAGTACCTGCTAATACAAGTACTAAATAAAGGTGCAGTAATGACTGCACAGTAGCATCTCATGTTGATGGGCCCAGTGGGTCCTGCACTGGGAATATCTACCCAGTACATTTTAACAAAACTTTATCTGGTGTTGCTATATCCAGTGTTCTCTGGAGCTAAACATTTAATTACCAAGGTAAGAAATTTGTTATAATAAGAATGTATAAGGTTCAGAGGGCTGGTAATGAGATACCTGGGTTTCCATAGTGCAGAAAACATTATATATCCATAGACAGATAAAACTAAATGGAGCCCTGGTGTGAGATGATATGAGCTGAAGTCCCCAGGAACTGATTTCACTGGTTAAATTTTTTTAAAGAGCATCCATATTCAGGCTTCTAAATAAGATGACCACCTTCCTACTGATTTTAAGATAGATAATAAGAACTATAGTCAATAGGAACTGCAACTGCTTAATTCCTTTAAGAAAAATCAGGTGGAATTTATTTAGGAACTGAAATATGGGTTTAGGATATTAACTTTAGAAACCTGTTTTTGAAAATCTTAGCCAAGGCACCTCGGGGATATATTTTGCATGTAACAATGAGTGACTTTTCAAACTCATTGGCTGAACCTCAATCTTATCCAAATAAACAAATATAATGTATGAATCACAGCTGTATTCATAATGTACTATCCATCTATGAACAGCCACATATTTATACACTATCAATGTACTGCATTTATTTTTGTTTTCCTTTTCATATCCTGTGTTTTCCTTCCACATCTAATGCTATAAATATAACATGACTAGCAGTATCCCCCACTAATGGAGCAGCATGAAAATATTCCAGATGAAATAAAAGCCTTTAATACCTCTTTTGAAGGGACACGGGAGCCTTTCCTTTTATTCCACCATGTTTCCAACATTGCAATGAGACAGGAAAGGACAATCCCAGCAGCCAGGATACAAAAAACACCTGAAAAACTCTTTATGTCCAGAGCACTTCCTTTCTGTTTGGTGTCCACTGACGAATACAGATCACATTGACCGTTTCTGGGCCACCACTTATGCTTCAGTATATCCATGTCTCCGTTCTGCTGTAGTTCTAGAATCCTTGAGGAGAAAGCACAGAACATCAGATTACCGACTGAGGCTTACGTTAGATACTTTGTCTTCTTTTCATTCCCCTCAGTAGAAGTTCCAAATATGTTTTTTTCCATCAGATTTCTAATAAACAGGGTGTCTAAAACAAGTACTCACATGTAGAATGCTCTATTTTTCTCTGTTATGACAGATGAATGTCATGGTATGAATAGCAGACATATTGAACACCTGTGGTAGTGTACATTGTAAGTTATGCTTCTTTCTTTCACCCCCTCCTTTCTTCCATTTTTTCCCATGCTGTGCCTAGCTCCCTTTGATCAGAGACCTAAGGAAAAATGTCTTGCATTTGAAAACTTGTCTAACTGCATCTCAACTACACAGTTGGTTCAGTAAAATATATCAACCTAAGAAATCCTTACCCCTCATAATTTCTAGACCATCATGGCTATAATATCCTTCTTATGCTCCTGTTAGGATACCAGTAAACTCCTGCCTTCAGCAACTTGTTTGTCTGTTCATGTCCTTAGAGACAACCCTTTCTTTCCTGAATGATATCGTGTCAGCTGCAATCATCTATAATTCTTGAGTTAACACCTTTAAAGTTAAATGGGAGATGAGAGGTGCCAGGGGATTTTCAGGGAAAGATTATTTGATGTGTGATTGATTTACTGTTGTAACTATGTATGAATTTATTGTTTATATAATGGCATATATATTTTGCCAGGCTTCTCTGAAAGGGAAGATGTGGCATGAATAGATTTAAAGAAGAGAATTTTATGTTTGACATGTCTTTTTGGTGTTTGTTGATCCAAATGAATTGTAGATACATGTTTTTACAAACCAAGTACATGTGTCTGGAGTATCAAATAAGAGCATTTGAGTAATTAAAATAATCAAATTAGGAATTGCTTTCTAAAAGTGGTAAAAATAAAATGGGTCTTCCCCCTCCCCCCACACACATAAATGATCTGTCTTGGGGTTTTTTTTTAAATGCTGACAGGAAAACAGATTGACTTGCATAAACATCTGAAACTGAATATAAAAAAAATTTAAAAAAGCACAGCTAAGTCATTCTGAGACTTTTTTCATTTAGAGCTAGGTAATACATCAAGTATGATTCTTGTACTAAAAAGTAAAAGAGAAAAATCGTATAGGCCTAATTCCCCCAAATGCTCTGTGTACAACAGTTCTCATAACCCCCCAGATAGCACTATCATGAATGAAACCCAAGAGCAGTAGCAGACTCCAATGAGCCAGTCCATGGGCTGGGGATTTTGATGGGAGAGGTTGTTCCAGAAATGGCTCTGGATGGAGTTTTCAGTCTTTTGACAATGAGTACACCTGAAGTATGCAGAATGTACTCCAATTCAGGGCTTTAAGAAAGGAAGATTTGGCTCTGGGAGGATATCCTGAGAGACAAGGCAGGTATTTCTGGGGATAAATCAGTACAGTGAACTTGTTTATACTGTTTGCTGATTAAAGAATAGTGAAGGATAGTCTCTGTAACAGCTTCAAGGGGGCATGTCACACAGAAGACACAGCCCAGGAGAGAAAGATCAGTGGTAGTTATAAGGCATAAATGCTTTCTCTTGTTTCTGAGTTGTCTAGGAAGCAGCTTTACAGCAGCCTTACCCTGGAATATCTTATAGATGGCAAGGCTACTACAACCAACCTGGAATCTCTGTAGTGCTCAGCACTGAAGAACAATGGCATGGTGAAATCACTGAATGGCTGGGGTGGGCAGGGGCAGGATATGCTGACTATGGTAGATGTGGGAGGGAAGAGGTATGACATGGGTGAAGGGAAAGGAAGTCTTACCTGATCGGACTGCTGCTGCCACTGCTCAGTGTCAGCGGAGTCAGCTTTCCTGTGGCTGGGGTTTTTTGGAATGGATCCTGGTGTCCCACTTGCCCTGTGGCTCCCTCCCACCTCGCTGTCCCAACCTGATACATACACATTGGGAGCAGGCCTACGTCCACTTTGGCAAAGGCTCGCTGAAGGGGAGCACCATTCTGTTTATCCCACCCTGCACTCCCCTGCTTCCCAGATACATTGTTTGGTGTGGTACTGTGCTGCCCAGCTGTTATGGTTGACAAGGGGCAGATCAGGACTTTCCCCACTGATGCAAAGGCTTCAAGAGAGGAGGACAAGTGCCAATTCACTCATGCCCCCCACACCCTGCAGATACACTGACTGGTGCAGTGCTGCACAGTTCCTATGGCAGGAACTTCTGCTGTGGTGAGAGGGATCCTGGTGCCCCACTCACCCCACCCTAGTCCTGCTACTGCTAAAGAAACTTTCCTTCCTGTCCCAAATCAGGAGTACTGGATAGAAGGAGGTCACATAGGGACGTGTACATTGGCCCTATATTGTTTCTTCACCAAGGGAATTCATGTTTGTTAAGTTAATGGGAAGAACATGTGCACATTTTTTTCCTGATAATCAGACCACTTCTACTTAGGTCCCTATACATGGATTTAAGAGTCTAGTTTCAGCACCCAGGTTCAAGCATTTTGGCATGTGTCCATTTGTCTTTGTGAATTACTAAATGCCAGCTGCATAAGGCAGTAATGGAATAGAAATCTGGGAGCAGAATGGTTTGTTTTCCTCAGTGGCAGCTCTAAGCCGTGAGGACTTCTATTTTTCTCCATTTTGTTCAGTTAGTAATAGACCGAAACATGCAGAATGATTGCTTTATTCTCATTAATTAAATGATTCTCCATTTGTCAGTCTAATTTCTGATTACACAGGACTTCTTTTTCAACAATAGAAATTTGCATAAACCACTGAACTTTAGCTAGGTCTATGAAACAGAGATTCATGCCAAATTATATAATTTTAATCAGTAAGAAATCTATTTTAATTCTAGAGGTCAGATGCAAGATTAATTGCTTTAAGGAGATCATAAAATATTAAGCAATATTAAGCAATGAATAGCTGTGTGCATAAATGGAAACAGCTCACTAGAAAAATCAAGTTAAACAGCAATTCAAATGGAATACAGTATATATCAAGGGAAATTACTGAACATCAATGGTAACTTGACCAAATATATTAATTTTATGTGCACAATGGGACAGAGCCTTGTTCTGCTGGATTCAATTGATGTTTTGGCATTGATGTCAATAGGGTCAGGATCTAGGCCCAAAACAAGAGCCAACATGCTTCGAGGTTTATAAATGCTGCCTATTTTCCATATCTAAGGAATTATTATTGTAGAGAGATATTTTGGAAACAAAAATGTGCTGTCACTGGAATCTTATGACAGGTAACAACAGATATGCAGAGGTTCTGGAAGTATGATGTGTCTGATGTGTAGGCACCATTATGCCCATGTGATGAGTGGACTTCCCACGAGATGGCAGTCTTTACAAAAAAATACACTCCTGCAAATCACTGTTCTGTGCCTGTGAACTGTACTAATAATTTTCCTCTCGGACTACAGACATATATTTTAATCATTTTAATATTGAATTGCATATTTCAATAATTAGGTATGAAATAATAGATTAAATAGAGGACTGAAAGACTCAAAGGAACTGATATAAAAATGTCTGATGTGGGTCATTTTGGTACTGTTTCAGAAACCCAAAGTTTTTACAAGTAAACTTTTCTGTACTACTTGCTCTGTTGGGACTACCATAAAGGAATGGAAAAATATTACTAAGGATAGATACCAGTCAGAAAGATGGAAATCTGTAAGTTGGCTTCACAATTTCCTTGTGTTCTAAAATTTGATCATATTAGAAAGTGTGACATTAAAAGACCAAGTCTAAGCACGTAAACTGCAGTGACCTGACTTGAAATATTTGACCTTTTAGACTTGGTTGTTGATAGACTGTGGATCTTGAAATATTTTTATTTGGGAAGCAAACTCTTATTATAATTTTTTTAAGTTAATAATGTCGAAAGTGAAAAAGATGCTCAAAACTCTCTGAAGTATAGGGAGTAAAACTGAGTTCTTTTTTGCTCTGGCTTTATATTATAAGGCTATATCATGCATTTCATTGTACAGAGAGGGAAGAGGAGTACAAGGAAAGACTTCTTCGTCTTGGATTAAAATCTGATACTGATTCGGACACCTAGGATACTTGCAGACTTTACACTTTGATTGTGTTAGGTCAACCTAAGGGCCAAACTGTACATATATTTGCGGAGGTTAAAAATATGGCAAGTCTGATCTAACTTATTATAGCTGAGGGGGTGCACTAAATTACATCAGGCATGGGTTAGCCCAATCAACCGAATGTGTGTAGACATTTGGAGCACAGCTCCTAGGCTGGGAAAGCCCAGCTGGTCATCCCAGCCATGAGGCCCTGCTTTTCCTACCTTCAACCATGATTTTTAGGTCTCCAACCCCCGCATCCTGGATGGACAACCCTCTCCAGGCTCACTAGCCTTTTCTGATCCTGTCCGCCCCTCCCCCCCAATCCCAAATTACTTAGATCATGTTCCTGGGACAGCTCCTGGCACCAGCAAACGTGTGCACAAGTGGGACCTGATCTATAATCACAGTTTAAAGCAAGCTGTGTGATTGTGGATTAGGCACCAGGAACATCTGTACATATACCTAGATGATCAGATTTGATTGTCTTATTTCCCAAAAGTGCCACTTACACACAGGCTGGCAATCTATTCCTACACACATGAATGGCTACAAACTTATGTAAGGACAGAGTGCCAGCCTGGATGTAGATGGCATTTTTGGGATGTGGATGACTAGATCTGGTCACTTAGGCATGCACAGAAGAACAGAATGTCACCCTGTGTGTTTCATTTTTACCTTTCTTCAGGATACATATAAAGCACAACAGTTGGCCGACTGAAGTCAGTGGGAACAGAAGCAGTTTTATAACCAGACTTACCTACTTCATAGATTAGTTGTGAGACCTAGTGAGTGCTTTGAGATCCCAAAATAAAAGGAAATCTTAGGACTACGGAGTATTATTAGTATTAAAATAATCAAAACATCCATGACAATATCATGTTTTGATCTTCCTCTTTTATAT